TTTTTGTAGTTGTTTTGGGTTTTTGCCATTCTTGGGACTTGAACTCAAGGCCTGGGAACTATCCCTGAGTATTTGTGCTCAAGGCTAACACTCTACCACTGGAGCCACAGCTCCTCTTCTGGAGCTCCAGTCTTGCCTGGGCAGGCTTCGAACCTCTGATCTAGCCTCTTGACTAGCTAGGATTACAGGTATGAGCCACTGGCTCAAAACCCTATCATATTTAATGATCTAGGCAGAAGTATCTAAAGATACTTATTATAGACTATCAACCATTCAACAAATATGGAACAAAGAATCAAAGTAAGTGCTTCAATAATCAAAGTTCTGTCAAGCAATTTAAAGGTGTCAAAGGAAAACACTTAAAGGACTGGAAAAAAAAAACTTAAAGGAATGCAAACAGCACAAAGCAATATAAAATACAAAATGTACGGCATTCACAGAAAACTTTCAAGGCATACAAAGCAGAAAAACAGGACTTATATTAAGAATAAATATTTAGGGTATGGTAGGAACATATGGGAAAGAGTGATAAAAAAGAGTGACAATGACCAAGATGAACTGCACCAATTGGTGGTTCATGCCTATAATCCAAGTTACTCTGGAAGCAGAGAACTGAGAATCTCAGTTCAAAGGCAACCTGGGCAGAAAAGTCCCCAACATTTTATCTCCAAAAAACTGGAAGTGATCTGCAGCTCAAATGGTAGAGTGTCAGTCTTGAGCAAAAATGCTATGAAACACTACCCTGACCCTGAGTTTTAGCCCCAGTATTAGCAAAAAAGATCCATGAGTAGCTAGGATTATGTTGTAAGCTACCAGCACACAGCTTGTTGTTTTTTAATAAACCAGTGCAAAAAAGCATAAAACTCAATAAGAATTATAGAGAGAAGAAAGACAACATAGAAAAAATCATGAGGGCTGGGAAGGTGGCTCAGTGGTAGAGCGCTTGCCTTGCTTGCATGAGGCCCTGAGTTCGATTCCCCAGCACCACATAAGCAAAAAGGAAAAAAGCCAAAAGGGGCGCTGTGGCTCAAGTGGTAGAGCGCTAGCCATGAGCTGAAGAGCTGAGGGACAGTGCCCAGGCCCAGAGTTCAGGCCCACGACCGGACCCAAAAAAAAAAAAGAAAGAAAGAAAAAATCATGAATATGAATTGAGCACATTTTCCAACTGTACCATGATTTGTACATCCACAATGAATGGACAAAGGACAAAGTATAAACAAATAAGGCAAATAAAGAAAGAAAAAAACATAAAGGGGTTCCAAAAAGAGAAAGAAGTAGTAAAACTACCCATCTTTGCAGATGACTTGACATTACATTTAAAGAACCCCATAGATTCTTTACCAAATTTACTTGAGTTGATCCAAAACTTTGGTAAAGTAGCAAGGTATAAAATTAACCCACAAAAATCAGTAGCTTGCTGGACACAGGTAGCTCACACCTATAATCCTAGCTACTCAGGAGGCTGAGATCTGGGGATCGAAGTTCTAAGCCAGCCCGGGCAAGAAAGTCCAAGTCCGAGACACTCTTTTATCGCTAATTAACCACCAGAAAACCACTGGGCACTGTGGCTCAAGTGGTAGCACACTAGCATTGACCTGAAGAGCTCAGGGACATCATCCAGGTCCCTCAACTGACAAAAAGAAAACAAAAACAAAAACAAAGTCAGTAGCTTTTCTGTATGTCAACAATGAGAAGATTAAGACTGAAAGCAACTTCTGTCAGAAAAAAAGAAAAATTGCACCACTCATAAGTAAATGGAAAGACATAGAAAAAATTATATTAAGCGAAATAAGCCAGACCCAAAGAAAGATGGGCTGCATGGTTTCCCTCATTTCGGGCAATTAGAATGAACCTATAAATCTACAAGTAAACACAATGGACGATAAAAGACAAAAACTTGGACATGATAAATTATACAGGACTCTAGACATTCACACAGTGACACCAGAGGATATTGTTAAGAGAGGATCACAAAGTCTCAATAGCTTTGTGCATATGATCATATGAAATGAAATTTATTGAAACGAATCCCAAACAAAGGAAACAAGAGGCTCTTTTTGTTATGTTGCTTTTGGTTTTGCTTTTGGTTTTTTTGTTTTTTTTCTCCTTTGTTGCTGTTTTTTATTTCTATACTTTCTATGTTGTATGAAAGTTCATCTGTTTTGGGGAGCATAAGTGGGAGCATCGAAATGGTAAGACAAGGGCTGGGAAGGTGGATCAGAGATAGAGTGTTTGCATTGCATGATGAGGCCCTGGGTTCGATTCCTCAGCACCATATAAACTGGAAAAAGCTGAAAGTGGTGCTTTGGCTCAAGTGGTAGAGTGCTCACCTTGAGCCGAAGAGTTCAGGGACAGCGCCCAGGCCCAGAGTTCAAGCCCCATGACTGACAAAAGAGGAGTAGGAGGAGAAGGAGGAGGAGGAGGAGGAGGAATGGTGAGACAAAGGGTGAACAAATGCAATATAGGTGAACTATGTTGAAAATTAATTGCACAACTTGTGAGGGTGGAGGGTCCAGGAGGAAAAACTGAGAGAATATGAGGGAAGACATGACACTGTTCATAAAGAAATGTACCCGTTCCTGACTTATGTAATTGTAACCCTTCTGTACACCCTCTTTACCATAAAAATAAATGTATTTAAACTAAAATTTAAAAAGACAACGTTGCAAAGTTCCTAAACCTGAGTAACAAAGCCAATATTCTATGGGCAACCAGAAAGAATAACAAGCTACACGCTACATATGAAGAAAAAGATGTCAAAGTGCTGTAGACTCTTACACATAAGACTAAGCCAATACCTTCAAAATTATGAAGCAACTTGATTGGAAACAAATAGCTATTACTCAGCCAAATTATCAAAGATTAGGGGAGAATAATGCTATCTTCAAAAAGACAAGATCTCTCTTAGATATGTCTTATTCAGGACTTCTTTAAGGACTTCTACAAAAATGAAGAAATACAACACAATGGATAAAAGAGCCATGCACTATTATTATTGCTATTTTCTATTACAAATTTTCACAGCATCGTTACAGCATGTATATTGAATAAACACAAATCTTAAAAATTAACCAAATGGAATTAAAGCTTCTATTATTTTTAAAAACTCAGATCATTGAGCCATGTGAAATTATGCTTCAAATCTATAGTATTCATAGAAGATGAGTATCATAGTGGAAGAAATATATTTTACATAGGAAAGTAAATAAAAGTGACTTTTAAGTGAAATCACATAACTTGATAATTTATTGACTATTTCTTTTTTTTTTTGGGGGGGGGGGGTCCAGTTGTGGGGCCTGAACTCTGGGCCTGGACGCTGTCCCTCAGCTCTTCAGCTCAAGTCTAACACTCTACTACTTGAGCCACAGCGCCACTTCTAGGTTTTTTTCTTTTTGCTTATATGGTGTTGAGGAATCAAACCCAGGGCCTCATGCATGCAAGGCAAGTGCTCTACCAATGAGCCACCTTCCCAGCCCAAGATTTGAACAGCTCAGGGACAGCACCCGGGCCCAGTGGAGTTCAAGTCTCATTACCAAAAAAAAATGTGTGGCATGTAACAATGACACCCTCCATCTGTATGACATACCAAAATAAAGTTGAACATAATATTTTACACACACAAAAGAGTGTTATGAAGAAAATAAAAGGAATAATCCGCCTCTGAGAGTTAGATACAAAAGAAACAAACACAGATTAGAGTCCTTCAGTACTAAAATTCTTGATGCCAGTCAACCAAAAGTAAGGCTAATTATTCAAAAAAACAAAAATTTGAAGATATCTAGAATCTTCTTTATCAAATTATTTCACTAAAATGCAAATGCAACACAGAGAGGACAAGGAAGGGAACGTGACTATAAGGTTGGGCAAGACAGGCTAAGAAAGACTGAATAAGAAAGACAGGTACAGAACCTAAGTCTACACATATCAAAGAGCACTGCAAGGGAGAAAATCCCATGACTGCGGGACTTTGTTGATGTATTGTGCCTCTTCCCTTTCCATTTCATTTTAAGCCGATTTAATTATTAAATTAATCCCTAAAATTACATTTGTACAACCACATTTTCCTTAAGATTTAGCAAACATCATTTTTACCAGTTTAAATTTTAGAGAATTAATTGTTATAACCAAGTCTTAGGAGGTTTTTCACTTCAGGATAATCTGTTAAAATAATACAATTAAATTATTTTAATATCCTCTTTGTAAAAGGACCTTGCGCTGTCCAAACATGATTGACATGATTATGTTTTTGAGACATGCAAGACATTTCTGAGTAAACACAGGTTATATGTTAATAAGAAAATACAGCCTTTCATAGCTCATTGTGAAAAAGAACCAGGAGTTATTTAGTCATTCAAATAGCAGATTTGACATAACCATACATTTTAACTTTCTATGTAAGTATAAAATCATACATATTATGTAAACACAACACTGTTTTCACATTAAATCCAAGTTGTAAAGTTAAGAGCCCAGAAGACCAATTCTGACACAGTAGAAAGAGACATAGCTAGATAAAGTCATCTGTAACCTAGATAATGGTGAAAACCAAGCTCTCCAAAGCAGTGAGTATAACTGAGAAGAAGGGCAAAGGCATGTGAACAGAGACTTGGGGAATACCCAGGGAAGAAAATTAAGCCAGAAGCATAACAAAGACAGTACAGTGAGCAAAGAAGTGATCTGGGAAGAACGATGCCATGAAAACCAAGAGAGAAGAGGACTTCAAGAAAGAGCTAGCAAAGGCAGAGGCTAACCTGAGATCAAAGAGGATGAAGATAAATCAAAACCACAGCAGAAAGTGAATAGCCATATTGAATTGGTTAAGATTACCTATTTCCATCTCAACTGACAAAAATAAAAGTTTATCTTGGAGGGAGGAGCGTAAAGAGAATGGACACTTGGAGAAAAACAGACTTTAGTTATCATTCTTGCTGTCTATAGTCCTAGATCAACAAAAATGCATGCTTTGGTTTGTTCATTTTTTTTTTAAGGGGTATACTCACCAAACTGTGGAGCAGGCAAAATTCTAGCTGCTCGAACTGGGCCACGGCGAACAGAGTATAGCTCCTGTGCTTCACCACTAATCTGTATAAAAGAAGATAAAAAAAAAAAAAAAAACAATTAAATATAGATTTAAAAAAACAAGACTCCTGAATTTTATCATAATTTATCTACAATATTCATGCATAATATGCCTCACATATATACATATAGCCATACTAATTTTAGGATGGCTATATCTTTTGAACTTATTGATATCCTAAATTATCCTACATGTTTAGAAAAATTTTAGAGCCCAAACTTGGTATACACTTGGAAAAATATTCTGGGGCTGGGAAGTTGGCTCAGTGGTAGAGTGCTTGCCTTGTATGCATGAGGCCCTTGGTTCGATTCCTCAGTACCATATGAGAGAAAAAACTGGAAGTGTTAGGGCACTAGCCTTGAGCTGAAGAGCTGAGGGACAGCGCCCAGGCCCAGAGTTCAGGTCCCACAAATGGCAGAAAGAAAGAAGAGAAAGAAAGAAAGAAAGAAAGAAAGAAAGAAAGAAAGAAAGAAAGAAAGAAAGAAAGAAAGAAAGAAAGAAAGAAAGAAAGAAAGAAAGAAAGAAAGAAAGAAAGAAAGAAAGAAAGAAAGAAAGAAAGGAAGGAAGGAAAGAAGGAAGGAAGGAAGGGAGAAAGAGAGAGAGAGAGAGAAAGAAAGAAAAGAAAGAAAGAAAGAAAGGAGGGAGGGAGGGAGGGAGGGAGGGAGGAGAAAGAGAGGAGAAAGACGGAAGGCAGGAAGGAAGGAAGGAAGGAAGGAAGGAAGGCAGGCAGGAAGGAAGGAAGGAAGGAGAGAAGAGAAGAGAAGAAAAGAAAAATAGTCTGTTCGGTAATTCTATAAGTTTTGCCTTACTAACCTATAGAAATATGCCCAGTTCCTGCACAACAGCTTTCCATTTCAGAGCACCTATGGTGACAATGCTCTACAATATGCAAGTTTGACTTAAATACTGTAGCAATACTCAAAATTTATTAGAAATACTTGTTTTAAGAACTATCTGGCCGGGCACTGGTGGCTCACGCCTGTAATCCTAGCTATTCAGGTAGCTGAGATCTGAGGATCACAGTTCAAAGCTAGCCCAGGCATTATAGTCTGTGAGACTCTAATCTCCAATAAATCACTAGAAAACCAGAAGTGGTGCTGTGGCTTAAGTGCTAGAGTGCTCGCCTTGAGCTGAATTTCTCAGGGACAGCCCCTAAGCCCAGAGTTCAAGCCCCATGACCAACAACAATAAAAAAAAAAAAAAAATAGCTATGCAGCCAGACACTGCCTATAATCCTAGTTATTCAGGAGACTGAGATCTGAGGATCACAGTTGGAACCCAGTCTGGGCAGGAAAGTCTATGAAACTATCTACAGTTAACCACCAAAAAAGCCAGAAATAGAACTGTGGCTCAAGTGGTAAAGTTCCAGCCTAAAGCAAAAAAGCACAAAGATAGCACCAAGACTGAGTTCATGCCAGGGCTGGCACCAAAAAAAAAAAAAAAAAAAAGTTGAGTGGAGGGGTAGGTCGAGAGAGATGGGGAAGAATAATGAAAGGGTAACAACCAATCAACACACATTACATTCATAAAGTGATTTGTTGAATGGTAACTCCTCTGTACAACTACTTAGGGATTATATTTAAAAAGTAAAAATTTAAAAAAAATCAGAGAAGGGCTGGGAAGGTGGCTCAGTGGTAGAGCACTGGCCCTGCATGCTTAAGGCCCTGGGTTCGATTCCTCAGCACCACATAAAAAAAAAAAAAAAAAGCCGGAAGTGGCCCAGTGGCTCAAGTGGTGGAGCGCTAGTCTTGAGCTGAAAAGCTGAGGGACAGCGCCAAGGCCCAGAGTTCAGGCCCCATAACCGGACACACAAAAAAAAAAAATCAGAGAAGCAAGGTACTGGTGGCTCACACTTGTAATCCTAGCTCTCAGGAGGCTCCGATCTCAGGACCACAATCCAAAGCCAACCAAGGCAGGAAAGGCCATGAGACTCTTATGTTCAATTAACCACCAGACCACCAGAAAACTAGAAGTAGCTGTGGGCTCAAAGTGGTAGGGAACCAGCGTTGAGCAAAGAAGCTTGAGAATAGTGCATAGGCCTTGAGTTCAAGCCCCATGACCAAACGAAAAAAAAAAAAAAAGTAGAGAAAACAATGTTATAAAACTAATTTTTAAAAAATCTAAGAACTTAGATGCAATAAAGGTTGAAAAAAAAGTTCAATAGTGAGGGAAGCTAGGAAGATAGCACAGAATCAGAGGGAAACAGAGAAAAATATACAACAGAGGGGTGCCTATCAGCTGCACTGGACATTGAAGAAAACAAACTAAGCAGCCGGGCGCTGGTGGCTCACGCCTGTAATCCTAGCTACTCAGGAGGCTGAGATCTGAGAATCGCGGTTCAAAGCCAGCCCGGGCAGGAGAGACTGTGAGACTCCTATCTCCAATAAACCACCAGAAAACCGGAAGTGGCCCCGTAGCTCAAGTGGTAGAGCGCTCGCCTTGAGCTGAAGAGCTGAGGGACAGCGCCCAGGCCCAGAGTTCAAGCCCCAGGACCGACAAAAAAAAAAAAAACTAAGCAACTCAAGGGCAGCAATAGGAGGGAGGAATGAGAGGAAAAGAGGGAACACTAAGAAAAAGGAAAGAAATGTACATATCACCCAATGTGGAAGAAATTAGTTGTATTGTCAAAACTCATAGAATTCACAAACATTATAGATCATGTTAATGACAACTTGCCTTGTGAAGGTTAAAATGTGTTTGTGACTGTATCACTATCTCACAATATTTTGAAATTTATGTAATCACTTAATCCCAATAAAAAATTATTTTTAAAAAAGTTCAATAGAAGATACGGTGATATTTTAACAGTCTTGCTCAACGAGTGGTATACAACAACAAAAATACACATTAATCTTTCAGCTTCTTTTCTATATGAATTTAAGAGGTGAAAACAATGTTTTCTTCTCCATAAATACTCATTTTTCTTGTGACAATTATTACAAGTGCTTTATTGGTTACAACAACAAATCCTCCTGTACACTTAGGATGAAGAACATGTGAGGAATGCCAGGACCAACTGTGTTACAATAGCACCACCTATCATCAATGAAACATAAAAGCTGTAAACTAAACAGCAGCTAGGAACTTACCTGCAATCTTTCATGGCCATTGTATACTACCAATCTTAAGTATACATTTGTTCATTTTAACATAGTTTAAATTTTAGAAAAGTCATAAATGATTAATTATGTTGTTCAATCTTCTGCCAAATGCATTAACTGTACATTTTCTTTTTTTTTTTTTTTTTTTTTTTGGGGGGGGGGGGAGGTTTCCAGTCGTGGGGCCTGAACTCTGGGCCTGGGCACTGTCCCTCAGCTCTTCAGCTCAAGGATAGCACTCACTTGAGCCACAGCGCCACTTCTGGCTTTTTTCTTTCTGTTTATGTGGTGCTGAGGAATCGAACCCAGGGCCTCAGGCATGCAAGGCAATCGCTCTACCACTGAGCCACCTTCCCAGCTCCTAACTGTACATTGTCTAAAATCTAAAAATAACCATCTCTTTCATTATTGAACTCACATACACAAAAGGGCAAAATCTAATGTAATCTATTGAATAGCATTAATTTGCTATTTCCATATACCTAATGTTTGGAATTTTACTGCACTAAAAGTAAAAAGAATGGAAAAACAATAAAAATAGAAATAAACATTTTAAAACATCATATTTTTTTTTAAATAAAGTATTTACTAGGCAAAAGATAAGTATCGTCTTTTCTAACATATCATTTCTATTAAGAAAATGAAAAAGAAAAAGATAGTATACAAGCTTCACCACTGAAATTTTACCTAAGAATAATGGAAAATATTGCTGAGATTTGTACTTGAAATGCTTTAGAGTATTTGAATATAAAATCTATGGCCCTGTACTGTTTTTTTCATGTGACATGTCTGCCATTTTGCTTTTATGTCAAAGACTCAATGTTAAAAAAAAAAAAAGTGAAACTATTTAACTGAGCCTCTATACTCAATTTGCCTTCACATACAACAAAAAGTTTATTACTATACAAATACACAAAAGCTTGATTTCACATAGAAAAACATTTAGAAATCTAAACTCCAGGGAAACAGCTTTTGAAACAAACCGGAAAACTCTTATTTTTACTTTCTATTCTAATCCTTTTCTTTATGTAAAGCAACAGATAAGAAAAAATGGAAATAATTAAAATTGAGAATTCACATTCCTTGTGTATTCTTTACTGCTTCTAAGTTACTTCCTTAGAATCCTAACATATAGGCTAGGAAAGGAGAAAGGGGAAAGAGACATTATATACGCTTACAGATATTTGTAAATATATTAAAATCACAATTATACATCATATTGAATCCAGAAGCATGTAAACTATTTTATGTGAGGCACAAATAATCTTCCCAGAAGAAAAATCTCTAAATCGGATATGAAAATTCTACATTAGAATATCATGTTAGAACACAATAGTACTATCTGTGTACATACAGAGAGCTTTTGTACATTTCAGAAAAGACACAGAGAAGGTAGATAGCCTTAAAGGATCAGCTTCAGCTACCATTCTAAATGCCTCTAATACTTTTATCCAGTATGTTCACTGATAATTTGGCTTTCAAGTAGATGTCAAACATTTTTGAAAGCTGTCAGAGTAGCTCAAGTAGTAAAACCCTGATTTCAGTATCTCTGATACTGAGATAAATTAAAATTTTTTAAACTTAAGTTTTCAAAATGACTTTTAAAATTCCTAAATAGAGCTTTTCAAAAACAGCAAGGAATCTTAGGGGAGGACTTTATAGCCCCTGAAAAGAAATATAAGGAGCTATATGAACATTTTCAAGCCGTCAATAACAACAAAAACTAGAACTAAAAAGCAGGAATATACCAAGCAATATTCCAACTTCCTGGCAATTGTGGTCACTTGGGGAGAAGAGCAAACAGAGAGGAAACCTCTCCAAGAGCTCTGCATGGTCTCTGCCTTTGTTCTTGCTGGCATTTTAATTTCTGATGACAGACTTTTGTTGTTTGGGGCATAAACCGG